CTGTGACTCCCTCTCTCTCTGACCCTCCCCTACTCACGCTGTCTCTCTCTCTCCTAGAAATAAATCATTAAAAAAAAAAAAAGTCCCCCAGATTCACTTTGACAAAGAATCCCCCCTTTGTTAGATCTGACCACATTTACTTTATCATTCTCTTTACATACATTTATAATTATTTCTTACTCTGAATCACTTGAAAGTCAGTTACAGACATGGATACCTCATTACTCTTTTAGGATTTCAGTGAGTGTTTCTTAAAAACAAGGGCACTCCAACATCACCGTGGTATAACTGGAAATGAAGACATTGATCTAATACTACCATCGAATCCAGAGACTGCTTTCCGATTTCGCCAGTTGTCCTAATATCGTCTTTTGTGGGACCATGATCCGATTCAAGATTATGTGTTATATTGGGTTCTCCTGTCCTACTCAGTCTTCCCTTGATAGTTTTGAAGTACACCCGCCAATTTGGGTTTGTGTGTTGTTTCATCGTGATTTGAATCAGGTTCTATGTCTTTTTCAGGAATATGATAGAAGCGGTGCATGTTTTTCTCAGGGCGCCCTCTCAGGAGGTCTGTGACTTCAGTTTGTCCCATTGCTGGTGATATTAACTTGAATAAAATGGCTTATATCTATCTACATCACTGGTAAGATAATGTCAGCAGGGCTTCCCACTGTAAGGATACTTGATCATTAATAAGTCTTTATACCTATTAGCAATTCTGTTGTAAGGTAGGACTTTCCTTTCTCCCTGACCTAGTTAATTATTCATAGTAGTATGAATTCCTATTTCATTCACTAGGGTTATTTATTCCTATTTTACTTGCTGTTATTATGTTAATGCACAAATAGTCTTAGGTTTGGCCAGTGGAGACCTGTCCTGTGTCCTTTTGAGGTGTCCCTCTCATTCCTGGAGCACTTCCTAATAAGGAAGGGGCATAAGAGTCGAAGGTCCGTTATGTGTGTTCTCTGCTCCGCAATCAGTCAGTTCTCTAAGAAGCCCTGTCTTCCTTCTGCTGCGAATCATTAAGAATTGAGGAAGGAAAACCTCAGAATTCAGAAACTACAATCTGGTGCTGAGGTCTGCTTCAAAACACCATTATTTTAGACCCTCTCAAAGGTCAGAACTGGAACATACGTGTATGTGCATCACACCTGCACATACCTATTTATGTCTCCTTCTGTACGTCTGTGTCTCTAACCGTCTATCGCTAGTGAAAAGTATGAGTTGACACTGATACGTCTTATTTCAATCCAACAATCTATTGTAGACTTCCTCCTTTTTGTACTTAAAGCCCCGTTCTCCAAGGGGTTCCTATCATCTTCAGTATATTTACTTCTTCTGCCCGCGTGTATGCAAATACTGCCCCTCGAACCCTGGCCAAACACCCCACCTTCTGGCCTTAATATCACCAACCAAGCAGCCCATCTGATGAGTTGGAGTTTGAGCCCCGCATTGGGCTCTGTGCTAACAGCTCAGAGCCTGGAGCCTGCTTTGCGAATTCTGTGTCTCCCTCTTTCTCTCTATGCTCCTCCTCTGCTCATACTCTGTCTCTCTCTCGCTCTCAAAAATAAATAAAACCTTAAAAAAATTGTTTAATTAAAAAAAGAAGAAGAAGAATGAGCCCTGCATCGGTCTCTCTACGGATAGTCCAGAGCCTGCTTGGGACTCTCTCCCTCCCTCTCTCTCTGCCCCTCCCATGCTCGTACTCTCTCTCTCTCCCTAATATATACATATATATGTGTGTGTGTGTTAACTATATCTTACAACATAGAGATTTCTTTTAATAGGTGAAGTAAGTCACTTACATTTATTGATAATGACATAAGTTTGATCTAAACTCTCCCATTTTATATTATTTTCTTTCTATAGTTTATGTTGTCTTTCATTCTGTGCTTGGTTCTTTCACCTTTTTTTGTTTGGGTAGTTGTATTTTTGTTCAACTATATACCTGTATATAATGTCCTTAATCCTAGACAATATCAATGAGCCCACTTCTATGAACAGCGATAACACTGACAGCTTATATCTCTTTTCCTCCTTCCTCTGCCCCAATTTATACCGGTCGTATATCTTTAATCCTTATCTTTGTACTGTTAAATATGCCTTTACCTCTGACTTGATTTGTCTCCTTTAAACAATTTCCTGTGACTGTTCGCTATTAGAGTATCATAGGTGAAACAGTCCACTACTTATTCTCCCTCCCATCAGAGCAGCCTTCCCGCGGCTCAGAGACTGCCTTTCTCTGCCACCCCAAACACCACATGTGTCTCCTTCAAGCAAGGCATTTCTGTGGTTTCTTCAGGCAGCCACACCTTTTTTCTCTCTCCAAACAAACCAGGCTCAAGAGGCTCCTGTGCCTGTCTTGTGATGCCTGATCACCCCCTCCAGTCCCCCCGCCCAGATGACCCTCTCATGTTCAGAAGGCACTGTTTGCTTCCACTTTCTGAGCTCTCCCACGGCCAGACCTCCCTTAGCACTTTCTGTTCCTTCACTCTCTGTCAGCTCCCGTCAGCTCAGCTCACTCTGATCTTAGCTCTGTTCTGAGGGTTTTCCCCTCCACTTCTGCACTTCACAGTGCTCAGCTCTTCATCAGGGCATCTGTTTTTGCCAAGGCTTTCTGAGATCTGCCACCCCCAAGCTCCTCCTCCCCCCCGCCCCCCGTGCTCTTTTACTACAGGCTGTGTCCAGTCATCCGGCGTCACTGCCTACACTTCATCGTCTGTGCGTTTTCTTCCATCATGTCACCGATTAGGGGGTTTACAAGGTACCTCCCACTTTGGGTTCAAACTTCCAGAAGTTTGAGTCGAAGCTGTGAGCATGTTCATTCTGGAAGTGAATTCTGGACCTTAATGCTTTTGATAGGTGACTTCACTGAGCTCACTGACAGTCTGTTAATGAGATATTCAACATAATTAGAAACTCATTAGAGCACCCTGGGCAGAGCAAACTGGCTTAAGATGCCATCGCATCTTAAACTTTCCAACAAGGGCTCCTGTTGCCACAATGAGCAGAGGAGGAAGTTGTTCACTGGTGTGTGGGTGACTTGTGCCCCCAGCTACACGGACGTAGCTAGCCATACTCACCCAGAATTTTCCATGGGCATGGACAGCTCGCTTTTGCTTCCCTCAAGAACAGTTCCAAACCATGATCTCGTAGACCTGCTACTCTCACTCACTCTTAACAGAAGATAGAAACCCGCAGATACCCCCCCACCCCCAGAGTCTCCTCAATGGCAATCCTCCCACTCTCCTTTGCTCACGTCTGGGAAGAAATACCCTTTCTCTCTGAAGCTATGATTTCTTTCCCTGGGTACTAATTTTCATTTCTTTTACAACTTTTTAAACTTCACCCATTATCTTTGTCTCTTCTTGCTCCGTTCACAAATAAACTCACTTTCTTCATCCTAAGAGAACTAAACCAAAGCCCAAAACGGGTGTATCTCATCTGTTTTGAATGTTTCTGCTCCTACCATCTTCCTCAACAGCCCAAGCACATCGAGTCCTTGCCATGACTGTCTGCTCCGTTGCAATGACCTTGCCCTCCACCGCTCGCAGAAACTACTGCTGCTAAATGGAAGCCAGAGTGGTCCTAATGATCAAATTCAGTTGCCTCATTCTGCACAGTCTTATGTCCTGGCAGCCATTGCCTTGAGTTCTAGAAGGGGCAGTCTGCTTTTACTTGCCTGCTCTCCCGCATCCAAATGTTAAATTTTACTATTCCTCAGGGTTGGTATTTTTTCCCTCACATATCCTAAATCTTTGTGTTCTCATCTATTTCCGAGTCCAAATATTAGGTAAAAGAGACTCAGTTGAGAAGTATTTTTCCACTAAGGCACCTGGGTGGCTCCGTCGGTTAAGTGCCTGACTTTGGCTCAGGTCATGATCTCATGGTTTGTGGGTTTGAGCCCTGCATTGGGCTCTGTGCTGAACAGATCAGAGCCTGGAGCCTGCTTCGGATTCTGTGTCTCCCTCTCTCTGCCCCACCACCCTCCCTCTTTCTCAAAAAAAAAAAAAAAAAAGTATTTTTCTACTCATAGCATGGACAAGTTCAACATATCACAAGAAATCACTTAAGATATTATTCATTTAAAAGTAAATTTACCTCAGGGTCCCTGCATGGCTCAGTTGGGTAAGCATCTGACTCTTGATTTCAGCTCAGAGCATGATCTCACCATCATGGGATCGAGCCCCACCTTGGGCTCTGTGCTGAGTGTGGAGCCTGCTTAGTATTCTTTCTTTCTCTCCCTCTCTGCCCCTCTCCCTCCCTCTTTCTCTCAATAAAATAAATGAATGCATTTACCTCAGTTTGTGAATTTTATGTATGAAGGTCATTATGAACAAGAAGTTTTGGGGGAAGAAGGAGAAAAACATCTTTTTCAAAAAAGGTTTTACTTGTTGGGCGTGGGAGCAAGTAAACTGTTAATAGTTTAAATTTAGGTCGTGGGTATATAGTGTATTATCTGAATTTATAGAAAAGTTTGGCATTTTATAATTCAGTTCTGTTTTGGACAAGCTGGTTTCATCAGTAACAGATTTGAATAAATCCAGGAGTAGGGGACTGTGGAAGCACCGTGTGTAACTCTCTAAGAGAAGAAGGTTGGTTACTAACAACAGTAAGATGACCACTAGATTTGTATTTGTGCAACTTGTCTTAGAAGAGGTATTGCAGGGGTGCCTGGGCGGCTCAGTTGATTGAGCGTCTGACTCTTGATTTCCGATCAGGTCATGGTCTCATGGTTCATGAGTTCACGCCCCGCATCTGGCTCTGCACTGAGAGCCTACTTGAGATTCTCTGCCCCTCTGCCCCTCCTCGTCTCTCTCTCTCTCTCTTAAAATAAATAAATTTTTTAAAAAAGAAAAAAGGTATTGGAGACAAAAGGGAGTTTTTAATAACTTTATTTTCTAAAACCCATCCTGCAAATATGTTTTTTCCACGCGGTCACTTCTTTAAAAACGAGTAGAAACAGAGACAAAGCTTATTTTGATACAGGCTCAGAGTCAGCCACATTCAGCTCGTAAGGAGTTCAGGTCAACCAAGAGGAGGGCCGCACTTGGCCGCTGCGAAGCACTGGCCCCCCAGCAGCCCTGGATGACCTTGGCCAGGCTTTTCCCAGACCTGGAGTCCGTGAAGACAGCTGCCGACAGAGACGGCCGAAGGCCGTGGGCCACCACGGCGTAGAGCACGTACTGCCGCTCCCCCGAGTACGGGGCCTCCTTGGCGGTCATTTGCCAGAGGGTGATGGCGAAGGAATAGATGTCCGCTTTGGGCGTCACGGTCTCTCCTTTCAGCAGCTCCGGGGCTCGGTGGGTGTAGGTGCCCCCCAGGGGGTAGGGGCGGGCCTGCGAGCACAGCCGCCCTTCCAGCTTCTCGGAGCAGCCGAAGTCCCCGATTTTGCAGACGTCCTGCTCACTGATCAGAATGTTAGCAGGCTTCAGGTCCAGGTGCACGATGCTCTGCGAGTGAAGGAAGAGCAGGCCGTTCACAATATCCAGGGAATACTTCAGACACTTCCCCAAACTTAACCGGTCTCCGGCACAGCAGGGAGGCTCGGCGTCCTCGTATATGACTTGGTGAAGGGTGACGTTGCCCCCAAACTCCATGATGATGGTGCCCAGGCTGTCGGAGCCCGCGGGCGTGCGCGTGCTGGCGGCCACCACGCGCACGACGTTGTCGTGGCGAAGCCGCGCGATGTTGAGCTCCGCCCAGAAGCTGCGCCGCGACGCCGCTCGGTTCTTGGCGCACCTGTTCACTTGCTTTACGGCCACCGGGACGCCGTGGTAGGTGGCCTTGTACACCGAGCCAAAGCCGCCGGCGCCCAGCCTCCGCAGGAAGCGCACCTGCTCCCAGTCGATGGAGCACCAGGCCAGCCGGCGGGGGAGCCGCGGCGCCCTGGGCGGACTGTCCCCCAGGAAGGGCCTCCCCGCCCGCCCCGGGCGCTCGGAAGGGCTGCTGCAGGGCCTGGCGTCCACCGACGGCGACAGCTCGCTGGGGACGTACCTGCGCCGGGGAAGAGGCGAGGGCATCGCGCCTTCAGCGTGGAGCCCAGCGCGACCCCGCGGAGCCAGGCGAGAAGGGAAAGGCCCGGGGGTCTCGAGGCCTCGCCGACTGCTCCTTGTCTCCACCCAGCGCTTTTCTCCTTTTCCTTCATTTCCCCCCCAACGAGCCACATCTGCGGTGTAATCAGCGCACGTTTTCTATCAGAAGGGGGAAAACAATCGGAATGAAGCACAGCCCTCCTTTTCAGATGACAGTATTTCCCTTCCACGCTTCAAGTGACTTCTTGTAAAAACAAGCTCTCGGCTGACACGAGTTCACCAGATAAACAGCACCCAGCTGCTCGCGGACTCTCCCCTTTCCCCCCCAGTATTTCCTTAATTATGATAAAACCGTTCCCCCCCCACCCCCCGCCCAGTGTCATCCGCTGAACATGATCAGTCCTCAGACTAAAGAGACCACAATAGTGCAGTGCAATTATTTCACACTTCGCAGGCTTTAATGATTGTCAGTGTTGTTTTCCAACTGCATTAAATCACTTCCAGCAGTTATTGGCAGGAAGCGTTGAAATAGGAACAGCTGACATTTGTTTAACCGATTACAGGGGTAATTAGGTGCAACATTCATATACGGACAAAAAACTGTAACCTTGAAGTAATCGATCCAAATAGAATCGCTGATACAGGGCAAAACATACGCCTCCTAAGTTCATCAGGGGAAAGGAAAATTCTCTGACACTCCTTGCAGCTTATATAGCAAATTAGCAAGACTTCTTAGCAACATATCAACTTCCCATGACCATGGCACTTTGCCCCCCCCCCCCCCAGGAAGCTCACTTACAAGAGAGATTCTAGACTTTGTAGCAAATGAATTACAGAAGTGTTGAAACAGAGTCTGGGGAGAAAAAAAGAACAGATTCAGATTCAGAGCCATGATCAGAACTTCAAATAATAACAAATATGAGAGAGTCCTAGGAGAGGAAAAATCTGAGTAGAAATGGCCCAGAATCACTACTGTCTATATATAACGTGGAAAACCAGATGTTGAAATTAAATCGGGGTCTTGCTGTTCAACCATAAATTCTTCCTTTCTAGTTTTTATAACAAACTCCCTGCCTCGCACTAGTTTTCATTCCATATCTTTGGGGAAAAGACCAACATTACCGTTTTGATTAAAAAACAGGAACATGTTAGGATCTATGTTTTGAAAGTTCTGTTTTTTGAAAGTTCTGTGCTTAGAGTACTATGTGATGTTAAACTACATTTTTATCATGACAGGTCTGTGCTTTTGAGAAATATTGGTTCTGAGAAGATAGGTGAACAAACACAAGGTATTTCCATAAGCCATTTGAAGTCTTTTGAGCCCTAAGATAGGATGTCTGCCCATCTGTGATATTGTGTATAGTGTTTAACCTTTTTTGAGCCTCAGTTTTTTCACTTAAAGAACTTAGAATAATAAATATGAAACTTTTTAATTTTGGAAAAAAAATTGGGGAGTTCTGTACGGATTGATAACTACAAAAGTCTAGAAGATGTACATGTACAAAACATTTTAGGAGAAAGGTAGTTGAACCCAACCCAAAATATAAAAGGATGACAGTGAAGAGAGTAACATAAGGAGGTAATGAAAGTATATTCTATAGTAAGTCTGTGCTGCAAAATTTATTTAATAGTTGTCACATAGTTGGGATTATAATTTAAGTGCTGAAACTGTTTCCTGATATTAGGAATGCTGTGAATATTCATCAAAGACGAATAATTGAGTGCCATAACCTTCTTGGCAAAATGATGTGACTTGTTATCGTATAATTTTTATTTTTAAGATAAGAGTATAGACGATTCATTTTCCAAAAAGTTGATTTTATTATTTATACAAAGTATAAGGTATTAATGAAAATGTGGTACTCTACATTCACAAGCCTCAAGTTCATTACACCCATCATCTGCCAATCTGCTCAAGAGTATTTCATTGCTGGGGCACCTGGGTGTCAACCCATTAAGCGTCCAACTTTGTCTCAGGTCATGATCTCCGGTTCTGTGAATTTGAGCCAGGCATGAGTTCGAGCCCTGCATCAGGTTCTGTGCTGACAGCTTAGAGCCTGGAGCCTGCTTGGAGTTCTGTCTCTCTCTCTCTCTCAAATAAACATTAAAAATTTTTTCACTAAATAGCCATTTTATTTAAAAAACTTTTTAAATGTTTATTTATTTTGGGGAGAGACAGACTGTGAGCAGTGAGCAGGAGGGGAGGGGGGAAGCAGAGAGAGGGGGACCAGGATCTGAAGCAGATTCCAGGCTCTGAGCTGTCAGCACAGAGCTTGACATTACCGAACTCACATACTGCGAGATCATGACCTGAGCTGAAGTGGGATGCTTAACCAACTGAGCCACCCAGGCGCCCCTGAATAGCCATTTTATTTATTTATTTATTTATTTATTTATTTATATTTTAAATGTTTTATTTATTTCTGAGAGAGAGAGACAGCATGAGCAAGGGAGGGTCCGGGAGAGAGGGAGACACAGAATCTTTAACAGGCTGCAGGCTCTGAGCTGTCAGCACAGAGCCCGACGTGGGGATTGAACTCAGGAGCCACGAGATCATGACCTGAGCCGAAGTCGGAGGCTTAACCGACCGAGCCACCCAGGCGCCCCCTGAATAGCCGTTTTAAAACAGCCTCTGGGGCCAGATGGCCAGGGTTCCTTCCTATCCCCCCCGTTTCCTCCTCCTACCTCAGGATTGCTGTCAGGATTGACAGAGTTCCAAATACTTAGATCAGGACCTGGCAAGTAATACCTAACTGCTAATTATTATTTATGAAACTCATACTAAACAGTGTATATGTGCTTGCACCAGTAAGACACAGATTTGTTAGGCAATAATGGTTTAAAATGTATCCTGCCAGGGTCGACGTAACTCACTCTAAGCGAAGCCAATCTGCCGTTTGACTGGTTTTTCCAACTTAAATGTTGAGGTTAAAGATCTAAGAGCCAGGTTGTTGCCTAACTGTAATATACGAAACATGCAGTGGATTAAGATTAATCTGATCAAATGCAAGAACCTCGTCATCCCCAAATAAAGGCAAAGGATGACGTTTCTTGAGAGCAGGGCTGGCACCGCCGGCCCCAGAAGAGCTAAGGAGGCAGCGGAGAGAGGGAGCCGGGTGCACGGCTGAGGAGCGCACTGACAAGGACTGCAGTGCTGTGGCGGCCGCCTCTCCGCGCAGGGCCACTCGGGCGTCGGGCGCAGCGCGGCGGCTCTGTCACAGGCCGCGACGTGCGCTGACGGCGGGCGGCCGAGTCCACAGCGCGATGAATCGGATTCCGATCGGAGACGCTGAGGGGCACCGAGTGCAGGAACGGTCTCTCTGGGGGCCCGCGTGCGGTTTCCCTTCCCCAAACGGCGGCCTCCGCCCGCCCGGGGCTCCCTGGGGGCGGGGGCGCTCTCCCCGCGACGTCGGCGCCTCCCCTGCACGCCGCGCGCCCCCGAGGCCTCCCGGGCCCCGCAGGCAGTGCGCGGCCCCGGGGGCGGGAGCGCGGCTGCGTCGGGCGCGGCGCTTCCCGGGCTGCCGACGCGCACGTGCGCGGGGCCGGCCGGCCGCCCGCGGTCCGGTGTGCGGTGCGCCCGCGCTCGTGCGTCCGCAGACGCCCCTTTCCACGGCAGTGCACAAGCATCACGTCATCTTCTGGAGGACATCTTTAAAACGCCGTTCCACTCAAGGTCGTAGCGACAACGCAGCGAGCCCGCCGAGGACGACCGCGTCGGAACGGCCACGGCCCTGGGTGCGCATGCGCCGGGCGCCCCGGCTTCCCAGCGATCTCCGGGGACGACCCGGTTTCAGAAGGTCGAAATGCGGAGGCGGGTCGCAGGCGTGGACGTGTGGCGTCGCGAGTCACAGCCGTGAATTAAGGTCGAAAATTCACTTTTGCTTCATTTTAGAACTAAAAATCTTTTAAAAACCCCAAAAAACCCAACCATGTACTTTGCTAAAAATAAAGATTATAGAGTCAAACTTGCAAAACTTGTATTTATTTTTTTTTAACTTAAGTGGTATTGTACTGTTATTATTCTGAAGGTTGAGCTTTATGCTTCGCAGTATATCATGGACTTGTTTCCACGTCTGTAAGCATAGATAGCTATTTTGGTTTCTTCTAAAATAATATGATGGTCAGGGGCAAATCCAAGTTTCGTGGGGCTTAAAGCTTATCAAAATTGAGGGAATATTTGTAAAAAAATTTTTACAAATCAGATATGGAAGTGAATGTTTTTAGATGAGAAATCACAGCAAATTACACATTTTGAAAAGCTGACAATGTAGTCATCACAAATTCAGCGAAATAACAATCTTATTAATAACTAATACCTGATACCCCTATATATTACTTTCCCCTGCATTTTGGGAGGATATACTTTTTTATTACCTCTTCAAATGACAAGGATGCTGTGAAAATTTGAAGTTGGGTAGAACTTCAATTAATATCAACATGAGCGTTTTGTTTTGTTTTGTTTTGCTGTTATGGGTTTATTTTTTGGAAAATTAAATCGATCCAGAACTTTTAATGGTGTAGAGCACTTGGGGGAGATTGCTTTTATCTAATTGTATTAAATGGCAGTCAAGCATCCAACACACCCCACCCATGAGATGATGTATTTACATCTGGTCCTAAAGACAAGTCAAAACAAACTGCCACTTCTCTAAAATATTTGGTTGCACATCTTATTTTTGCTGTAATATGTGGATCTGTACATCATTTCTCTGTGAAAACTTTGTGTGACCTCCAGATTTTTACTGTAAGTATTTAGCTTTTCATGAGCACAAAGATTAAAGGATCTTTCTTTGCCCTGGGAGTCATTAATTGCTTGGTTAGTAACAGATATAGTGTCTTGGCCAGACTTAGTTGTGGAGAGAATTAATTTTATATTTATGTGTATTTCCATTCATACATGCAACTTTGGCCAGCAGTATTTATCACCTCATATATTATTTATAAAATTGCTTTCTTAAAACAGTATAAGAGAGGTGCCTGGGTGGCTC